GTAGAGAAAGAAACATTGATTTGTTGTTCTGCTTATTTGTGCATTCATTGACTAATTGAATGTGCTCAGACCAGAGGTTGAACCTGCAACCTTGGCGTATTGTGACAGCGCTCTAACCAACTGAGCTACCTGGCCAGGGCTCTTGCGTTTTATATTTTAAACAAACAAGCAGGAGAGCCTGCTCCTTAGGTATCTATCTGTGCACAGGTAGTAACTACTGAACGTGTCCGAGGGGCTGTGTCAGGGCTGTGCCTTTTAAGTGTCTGTCCTAAACACAGAACATAGAGGATGGTATCAGATGTTATCTGCAACCTTTGGGAAATGCTACTGACCAGCAGCAAAGTCCTTTTTGGCATGCATGTAACCACGTGCTGCTCTCTGGAATAAAGACCTGGGAATGAATGTCTGAGAGTGTTGAGGTTATAAATGCAATGGCAAAACAAAACCAGATTGAAAAAAAAACAAAACAAACCGAAAAACTAGCGTCCCTCCCCAGAGGAGCACAAAGGAAAAGCAGGTTGGACAGGAAACGCAGAGCAGTGACCAGGGTGATGACAGAGGTAATGCCCATAGCCTTTCAGGCCTCCCCGGGCCTCTGGCCCGTTGTGGGTCAGGGTCTGGGGGAGGGGGGCTGAAAGACGCACTGCGGTGGGCCTCTTCTGACCCCATCTCTGACCACCGAGACTCGGGCACCCCTCCGTCTTTGTGAACTCCATACCTTTCCACCTCCTGCCTTTCCACCCTTTTCAGCGCTCCGGGAAAGCGAGCAAGAGAGGGATTTTTGTCTTTGGGGCTTACATTTACACTGACCGAAGCTCCTTGGGAATGCACTTGCATCTAAGGAGCTGACAGGCTGAGAGCAGAGCACCCAGGGGACGCTGGTCTGGGAGGGGGGAGCGAGAGGGGGGGGAGAGAGAGAGAGGGAGGGAGGGAGGGAGGGAGGGAGGGAGGGGAGAGAACGAGCTATGAAACCATCAGCATTACGGATCTTCTTCTAAAAGTCATGTCGGATAATCAGTTAACCTTTGGTCAGAACTATGTTAAAACTGAATGGGAGTTTGTCATTTTGAGGAATAAGCAAACTATTGAATGCAGTAGTATAAGGGTCAACCCTTTGTTTATATGTATTTGTTTATGCAAATGATTTCCATTGAATTCAGTTTAGCAAACTTTCTCCCTCTGACTTCTATTATGAAAAATTTAAAACATATAAAGAACTTTAAAGAATTGTAAGGCTAGCTAGTGTGGCACAGTGGTTGAGCGTCGACCTGTGAACAGGGAGGTCACGGTTCAATTCCTGGTCAGGGCACCTGCCAGGTGTTGCTGGCTCAATCCCCAGTGAGAGGTGTGCAGGAGGCAGCCGGTCAGTGATTCTCTCTCATCATTGATGTTTCTATGTCCCTCTCTCCCTCTCTAAAATCAGTCAATAAATAAATCAGTTGTACAGAGGGCATCCATATTCCTGTCATCTAGATTTTATAATTGCTAAGCTTTTAATATATTTTTATTGATTTCAGAGAAGGGAGAGGGAGAGAGAGAGATAGAAACACCAATGATGAGAAAGAATCATTGATTGGCTACCTCCTGTGCCCCTATGGGTGATCAAGCCTGTAACCTGGACATGTGCCCTGACCAGGAATTGAACCTGGGATCTTCAGTCCTCAGGCCAACTCTCTATCTACTGAGCCACACCAGCTAGGGAACAATTGCTAAGCTTTTGCTACATTTGCTTTATCCGTCAATCACTTACTTTTATATAACTATTGCAGTATTGTTTACATTTTATTAAAGGACACGTGTGAGGTGAGTTTTAGTAAATTTATGCAGCTGTGCAGCCACCACCAGTTTGAGTTATAGACATTCATCTCCCCCAAGTTCCCTTCTGTTGTTGGCAGTCAGCCCTGCTCCAACCCCAGGGGACTCCTGCCCGTTTGTCTGTGTCTGTACGTATTTTGCCTTTTCTAGAAGTTTCGTGTAAATGGAATTACACAGTATGTAGTCTGTATCTGGCTTCTTCCACTTAGTATGATGTTCTTGAGGTCCATCCATGTTGTCTCAGGTCAGCAGTGCTTTCCTTTTTACTGTTGAAGATGCTTTTCTGTTGTATAGGTGTACCACGTTCTAGCAATCCGTTCCTGCAGTAGTTAATGGCGCTCCTTGACTCACACCTCATGGGGGGGGGGGGGGGCGTGAGAATAGCTCATTGTAACGTCCTCTGGATGTCACAGGAACCTGGGGAATTCTGAGGCCATCACTTTAAGCAAATGCAGGGTGGCTGTAGCCTGCTCAGGAGCACACCACGAAGCCAGGTCCACAGGCTCTGAGCGCAGCAGGCCGGGTTGGGCGGCGGAGGAAGTGTGGGCACCTGTGCGCCTGCGAGCTTGTTTACCCGGTGATTCTTTTTGGCTGGTGGCTCTGAAAGAACAGATTCACATCACTCCGCTTCCAGCTCTATGAAGGGCTAGGTCATCCCTTCTTCCCGTGACCTGATTGCAACCACATTGAGCTCTGCGATACTCTGAGTGGATCGCCCATGGGCTTACGGTCATTCATTTCCACAGGCGTGTTCCCGGGCGGCTGCGCTGGGGTGTGAATTCTGAGGCGTAGCTCCTGCAGTGCTGTGGAGACCAAGGGCTCAGACCAAGTGTAGCTAAAACCCCATTCTTCAGGGCGGTCAGGAATTACATTTTGAAAATATGGATTAAAGACGTGATGTAACTTAATGACCAGGAAGTGTTGAGTGGCCACACTGAGACCAGACCAGTTCTGGGTTCTGTGGATGTGAGAGGCAGCCGGACCCGGTTCTTCCCGTAAAGGCTGCACCGAAGCCGCCTGTGGCGATGGGGAGGCGGAGCCAGGTGTGGCCAGGACCTCTGGCTTTCCTGAGCACATTGCCTTTCATAGGAGCCGCAGCACTGCGTGGCCAGACCGTTAGAATTCAGAACAAAAACAGAACGACAGCCCCATCGGGTCAGAAATGAAAGATTCTTTAGGACGACCTCCAGGGAGGAGCTTGGCCCAAACAGTATCGCTGTCTGGCTTTTAGAAGAGATTTGGCCCTCACCGGTCTGGCCCAGTGGATAGAGCGTCAGCCTGCGGACTGAGGGGTCCTAGGTTCGATTCCGTCTGAGAGGCATGTACCATAGTATGTACCACAGTTGTAGGCTCAGTTCCCGACCGTGGTTGGACATGGGCAGGAGCCATCAATTGATGTGTCTCTCACATTGATCCCTCCCTCCTTCCCTCCCTCTCTCCCTCCTTCTTTTCTTCCGTTCCCTAAAAACAATGGAAAAATATCCTTAGATGAGGGGTAACCAAAAAACCACACCAAATTTTGTAGCTAAAAGCTACATTCAAACAGTCATTGAGGTTTAAACCAAATGCTTTTTGTGTTTTCATTTCATGGTAGTGGGCTGCTGTGGGGGACTGGTTTTGTTCTGGCCACCGCGAGAAGCAGTGGACCTCTAGATCAGGAGCTGGACCAGAAAAGCCCACAGCAGCACGCATGGTCAGCAGCCTCTTGTCTGGCATGGAGGGAAGTGGGTCCCGCCCCTCCGTGAAGTAAGCTGTCTGAGTCCTTGGTTTCCTGCAGACGAGCTGGGCCTCAGGACAGCAGGCAGTCTGCTCAGCCTTGGACACTGACTGCGCATGGGATGGGCCATTGTAGCAGGGCCGCACCTGTCTTCAGTCCCTTGAGCCGACGCCAAAGCTCTGAGTGCTCGTGGCTCCTCAGCCTGCAGTGCTCCTTGTTTCTCCTGGTCAGGAGCACCGCCTGCGGCTGCTGTTCTCTCCGGGAAGCCTGCTCCAGGCACCCAGACAGTCTTCATCTTCCGAAGGCCCTCCCCCTCCCATTCCTGACACAGGTGGCCTGGTTTATAACTAGCTTACTTTCCCAATTAACAAGATACGGCGGCCAAAACCAGTGTGGCTCAGTGGATAGAGCGTCAGCCTGCGGACTGAAAGGTTCGATTCCGGTCAAGGGCATGTACATTGGTTGCGGGCACATCCCCAGTGGGAGGTGTGCAGGAGGTTGCTGATTGATGTTTCTCTCTCATTGATGTTTCTAACTCTCTATCCCTCTTCCTTCCTCTCTGTAAAAAAATCAATAAAATATATTTAAAAAAAAAAGATATGGCTGCTATAACATATACATACATACTCTTACTACTGGCTTCTTTAGCATAACATTAAAATGTGAACTTGCTCGGCTGGTGTGGCTCTGTGGTTGAGCATTGACCTATGAGCAGGGAGATCACGATTTGGGTTGCTGGCCCTATCACAGGTAGGGGGCGTGCAGGAGGCAGCCTATCAATGGTTCTCTCTCATCATTAATATTTCTCTTTCTCTTTTTCTCATGAAATCAATAAAAAAGTGAGCTTTCCATGTCAATACACTTCTGCAACATCTTTTTTAATAACTATATATTAGTCCATTGCATGAATCGGTCACATATTTCCTTTTTGTTAAGCATTTTTATTTTTTTTACTCCTAGAAAACACTGTGGTTCACACATACCCTGCCATTTTCTCAGAAAAGTTCTCTGAAGTGAAGAGCATCTCCCGGGGCTTTCAGACAGAGCAGGTGCCGGAGGCTGCCACGGACTTCTAGATTACCTTTCAGCGAGGGCCCTTGGGGATTTCCAGTGGCACTTTGTGTCTGTTTAGTTTTGTTTTGCTGGGTTTGTGCGGGAATCCCAAGCCTGGACATTCCTGCCGGTAACCGGTGGGTCAGAGGTGCGCTTCCCAGCCGAGGCCTCCATGGCAGCTGGAGGGGCTGCGGCAGTCAGAGCCCATCGCTGAGGAGTCATGACTCTACAGTGTTTGCTTAAGTTGCAATTTAAAGTAATTGCTTAGGTCGTTCATGAGAACAAAGACAGAAAACTAAAGAGATCCAGGCAATCACTGGGCCATGGAGTCTGAGCTGAAGACAAAGCATTTAAAACCTTGCGATGCTCCGGACGAGACGAAGCTGTCATTTGACTTTTTCTTTCTTCTTTCTAGGTGTCTCATTCAGTTGCTAAACTTATATTAGTTAATTTCCACTGGCAAGTTGCAGAGATATTGGACAGGTAAGCTGTTTGGGGGCGGGAGGCGGCATCGCCCGCAGCGTGGTGCCGGTCTGTGCACTTTGGAGCATGTCCTTCCAGTGTGCGTGTTGTATTTTACAGACACTGGGTCATATTGTATATTTTTTCCTCTCAATTTACATGTTGAACATTTCCCATCTACTTTCCAGATATTCTTTCTACTGGTATTTGCTGGTGCAGCATCTTATAGAGATGCTTCTTACTTTGTTCAGACCTCTGTTGTTGGACAGTGACGTCAGGTTTTTTGTGCCTTGTTAATTAGTTTGTAATCAGTGCCCTTCTAGATTACCCTTGCCAACATCTCTCTTATTTCTTTTGGATACATCATATGTACCATGGCACGTCACATGTTAGCTTGAGAAAAGGTAATTGGCCAATTCGCCAACCGCCTCCAGCCCCAGAGCTCCGAGGCACAGATTGGAGCCTCCAACACTGGAAGCTGTGGGGAGGAGGGTCTCCCGGCCCGCTGGAGACATTTCCGAGACCCCCTCAGAGGCCAGTCTGGCTCCGGGTCTCCTCAGCACCACGGGCTTTGGGGCTGCATGACTCTCGCTGGGGAGACTGTTCTGGGATTGTAGGAGGTTTGGCAGGTGCCTCAGCTCATCTTCTGCACGTCAGGAGCAGGAGCATCCACAGTCCTGGAGGTAAATGTCCCCAGGCCCTGCCCGGTGCCCCGGAGGACAGCATCTTCCCGGGAGAAACGCCACCCTGCCCTTCCCACCGGACATCGTTCTCGCGGTGTGGCCCTGTGAATGCAATGCAGAGCGGGGCCGTGCCTGCCCTCCAGCCAGGCAGCTGGTGGCCGCGCCCGCCGAGCGCCCGCTCACTCCCCCCGCACTCACTGCTCACCGGAGAGGCTCTGCGGAGTGCAGGTCCCCTCCAGGCCTGCGCCTCTGTCCCCGCTGTGCACACTCGGGAACCGGGATGGAGTGGTGAAGGCTAAGCCGGAAGCATCTGGTGGGGGTGGTGGGAGTGAAAGCCGCTGGAGGAGGCACTGTGACAGGTGGGCGAGGACACCTGTAGGAGACAGCCCCCTGCTCGGCTCCTGGTGGCCGGGAACAAGGTTTTCCCGGCCTTGGGTAGCACTTTATTGCCACGTGATGATTGTTCTCATTTCTTTCTTTTTTTAAAATATATTTTATTGATTTTACACAGAGAGGAATTGAGAGGGACAGAGAGTTAGAAACATCGTTGAGAGAGAATCATCAATCAGCTTCCTCTTGCACCCCCCCCACTGGAGATGTGCCCGCAACCAATGTACATGCCCTTGACCGGAATCGAACCCGGGACCTTTCAGTCCGCAAGCCGACGCTCTATCCACTGAGCCAAACCGGTCCCGGCTGTTCTCATTTCTAAATGTATTTATGCCATACCTTGCTCCAGAGGAATTAGATGGTTCTGATGAAAGCGTGCTTTTTCAGAAATCCGTGTGTGGCCGAAACCGTTTGGCTCAATGGATAGAGCGTCAGCTTGGGGACTGAAGACCCTGGTTCGATTCCGGTCAAGGGCATGCACCTTGGTTGCGGGCATATCCCCAGTGGGGGGTGTGCAAGAGGCAGCTGATCAATGACTCTCTCTCATCGATGTTTCTAGCTCTCTCTCTCTCCCTCCCTCTCTGTACAAAAACAATAAAATATATTTAAAAGAAAAAGAAAAAGAAAGCCATGTGTGAATGTGCACACACATGCGCATGTGCTGTGTGCAGGCACTAAAGAGCATTATAGCAGGTGCTCTCCTGAGTGCTCCCCCAACAGGAACCCGCTGGCTCGCAGGAGGAGCCTCTGGCGGCAGTGCTGCCTGGCCCAGCTCCTCCCACCGGGCACTCATACCTGCCGTTCCTGTTGATCGTTTTCTTTTTTCCTAACTTAGGTAACTTTTAGTTTAGTATGTTTTTAGAACTCTACAGACATCATCATGCTGTGCTTTAAGTTTTAAAATTACAAACAAAGTTGCATTTTATGACATCCTGTGAATCCTGTCAGAAAACCATTTTGAGGTGGTTTTGTTTGGTTGGTTGCTTTGCTGTCACACATGATGCAGCTTTGAAAACCTGTTGGAGACTCCAGTGTAACCACTTAGTAGGGTTCAGAGAGAGAGTGAGTTACTGGTCTCTGGTTTCTAAAACTTGACCGGTGAAGGCCAGTGTTTTCCATGGTACACGCCCACCAGTGATGTGGGCGCTCCCCGTGCTGCCACAGTGAAGTTTCACGTCCAGTTATCTTTAACTTCATTTTCTGGATTAGTCAGGAGCATCTTTTCTTATGTTTAGTGGTCATTTGTGTTTCCTCTTCTGTGGATGCCTGCTCTCTCTTTTGCCCATTTTTATTGTTACTTTATCTTTTGTATCTTATATCTGGAATGAGGTATGGCATAAATACATTTAGAAATAAGAACAATTATCATGTGGTAATAAAAGTGCTACCAAAAGCCCAGGAAAACACATTCCCAGACACCAAGGACAAATGAATTTATAGGTTTTTGTGTGTGGGTTTTTTTTTTTTTATTCTGAATATCATCCTTTGCCATATAGGTATTGAATTTTCATCCAGTTTATATCTGATGAACCACATGGTTTTTTGTGTTGTTTTTTAAATATTTTTTATTTTTGTTTGTTTTTTTTACAGAGAGGAAGGGAGAGGGATAGAGTTAGAAACATCTGAGAGAGAAACATTAATCAGCTGCCTCCTGAACATCCCCTACTGGGGATGTGCCCGCAACCAAGGTACATGCCCTTGACCAGAATCAAACCTGGGACCCTTCAGTGCGCAGGCCAACACTATCCCCTGAGCCAAACCGGTTAGGGCATGATGAACCAAAGTTTTTTAATGTAACATGATTTTTCAGTTTTTCTTTTATGCTCTGCTTGTGTGTGTGTGTCTTAAGATATCCTTCCCTATTCTGATGTCAGTAAAGAGATTTTTACCTTTAATTTCAGAAGGGAATGTAAATCAGAAACGATCCTTCATGAGCATTGTTCTCACAGCTCAGTGCCTTGGAGACAGGGTTATTATTCGCAGACAATTGAGAGCTAAAAGAATTGGGAAGAGAAGTACATTTGCACTGAGGAGGGAGCTTGGCTCTGCAAGCGGTAATTAGAGACAAAGGCACTCAGGCAGCTGCACACGTTGGCCCGTCCTCCGCGGTGAACCTGCGCCTTCCGTTCCCCACGCTGGGTCTCTGCCTTTTGTGTTGTAGGTACAAGTCCAATTCTGCTCAGCTGCTCGTCGAGGCTCGCGTCCAGCCCAGTCCATCGAAACACGTGAGTGTGTCCTGCCTGGGAGGACGTCTCCCGGCACGTGGCTCTCCTGTGGCTTCGAGGTGCTATGGAGAGCCCTCTCACTTTATTCTGGTGTGACTGCCTCTCCTGTTTGTTCCGTTATCGCTGGGAAGCTTCCTCTGGGGGGAGAGGAAATCATTGCCGATCCGGGGCCACTCAGCCCTTTCATCTCTGCCCTCACAGCCTGCACTCCATCCCCGCTGCTGCCTGGTGTGCCCAGCTCACCGCACGCCTCCGCCCCTGCCCCTGCCTCTGCGGACCCTCTCTGGCCTGGAGTGTTCAGACCCTGTCCCCATGTTTGTGGGAATGGAACTCACTTTTTTTTTTTTATATATATATATTTTATTGATTGTTTTAGAGAGAGGAAGGGAGAGAGGTAGAGAGTTAGAAACATCGATGAGAGAAACATTGATCGGCTGCCTCCTGCACACCCCCCACCAGGGATGTACCCACAACCAAGGTACATGCCCTTGACCGGAATCGAACCTGGGACCTTTCAGTCTGCAGGCTGACACTCTATCCACTGAGCCACACCGGTTTCGGCTTGAAACTCACTTTTAAAGACCCAAGCTGTCCCTCACAAAGCCTGTCCCCCGGATCACTCCCTGCAAACTCGTCTGGTTGTGTCTTTAAACCTTCACTGTGTGTGGTAGTGATTCAGCCATCTTTCCCTACCGCAGTGAGTGCTCTGAGGGAGACCCCACGTCCTACAGGCCTGGTCATGCCTGTGTGTCTAGAAGTTCAACAAACATCTGTTAGATGAGCGAGGACGTGTCCGCAGAGCGCTTAGGAGAGATTTGGAGCTCAGGTCACCACAGAACTTCTGCAGCCTCTCCTTAGAAAGCTTCCCGGCGCAGCCTGGCTGAGCACGGGAACAGCTCTTTCTCGGATTGTTTGTATTTCCGGGGAGGAAGGGAGAGGGGTAGATAGAGCAGGTGCTCTGCTTTAACAAGCTGACAAGAGCCGAGATCACCTTGTAGGGGCTTTTCCGTGGGCTGTGGTGTTGGCCCGGGCCCCCGGCTGTCTGTGTGTGTAGTGTGGCCTTATCCTGGGACTCGGGCTTCAGAGTTGTCGGCCCACTTCCTGGGAGAGTTTCCTGCCTCGTAGGCGCCTTCTCATCCTTCTCCATTAATTTACGTGACATCTCTTTGTGGTGAGGACGAGCTGTAACTTGGAAAAAGAAATAACGTTTTGTATTTTGGGCATATCCGCCTAGGAAGACAAAGGGCTGTGATAAGTAGCGCTCAGTGTGCTCAGTGTGCCGTTAGAAGCTTTATGCAGCCTCGGCCTTAGGGCTGGATTCGCAGCGCTTGCTGCGGGGCAGCTCCGGACTCTGCTGAACGGGCTCTTCCAGGAGAAATGCTTTAAAAGCTGGAGCGAAGGACCTCTGAGGGCCTTGACAACTTGACATCCGAGCTTTCCCCTGGCTTTCTCAGGCTGCTGTCTGTCATTCTGACGGCTCTGCTTCCCTGCATCTAGTGATGCCACAAGCCCAGCTCAGGTGCCGCCGCCCCCAGGAAGCCTTCCTGAGGTGCTCTGCTCGGAGCTCCACTGCAGCCGAGCTCCACTCTCGTGGCCTCCCAGGTTCCCTGCGGCCCCGGACTGATGTTTCCTCTCTCCCCAGGCCCCCGCAGCCCACCCCCCTCACCACTGCGCCGTGTGCATGCAGTTCGTGCGGAAGGAGAACCTGCTCTCGCTGGCCTGTCAGCACCAGTTTTGCCGCAGCTGCTGGGAGCAGCACTGCTCTGTGCTTGTTAAAGACGGCGTGGGTGTGGGTGAGTGCTCCGGGCCTTACCACTGACAGTGTTACCTCTGACTCGGCCCTTCCAGGGCTCCGTCAGCTGTGTGTCTTTTTAAAAACAGCGTTTTCATTGACTTCAGAGAGGTAAAAGCATCACTGATGAGAGAGAATCGTCAATCAGCGGCCTCTTGCACACCCCCTACTGGGGATGGAGCCTGCAGCCTAGGTGTGGGCCTGACTGGGAATCGGCAGGTGACCTCCTGGTTTGTGGCTCAACCGCTGAGCCATGCCGGTTAGGTTAGGCGACTACGCGTCTTCTTTTAAGCCTGATTGACGTTACCGTCACCACCATTGCTTCCCACGTCTCAGACTGACTGGCCACGTGCTCCCATCCTGAACGACAGGAGAAGCTAAGGCTGCTGTTCGGTCCCACGTGGAGGGGGTGTGAGTGCAGGGCCACCTCTCGGAGGCTTTGGGAGGGCTGTCTGCACCCTGCCGCCTGTCCTCCTCACCCCCCACAGGCAGCCATTGTGCAGCCACCAGAGGCTCGTGCTGTGTAGGCAGCAGCACAGAGTGCCTGGTGAGGGGCAGTTATGGGATATTTGTTAGACTGTAACCTGATGATGTTGATACAAGATTGGCCTCCCATTAATTGTGTCTGCAAACCTCCTGTTGGTGGTAAGCACTTGCATGTAATATTAAACATTACAAAACTCAGTTGTTAGTTAGCAACTATATAGGGTTTTTAAACAAAAGTTTAAACCATTGTGATGTGTATGTCATTTGGAACAATGTTTAGTCACATCACTGTGCAAATGTATCAGTGTCTTTCTTTGAGGCTGTTCTTTTGTTTCAAGGGTTTCCTATGTGGAACCGAATCTGTGGTTGATCTCAGGGGCAAATATGTTATGACGAGGGGCCCAGGGCACAGATTCGTACATCTAGAAAGGAACTGTGGGCTGAGGCTGCAGTGGGCACAGGGACGGGTCTGGGCCCATCCTCCACACCTGGCCTGCCATGGCCCCCAGTCCCATCTGCCAGCAGCCCCACTCCTGCCCGCTGCTCCCATGCGCTGATGGTGCCGCCCCGCTCGCACCCAGTGACAGCAGCAACATTTGGGGACAGCGCTGTCAGCTGAGCAGCAGCTGCTGCTGCACCCATCCCCCTCAGGAGCAGGCGGAGGGGGAGAAGCCCACAGGGGCGATGGGGGCCGGCAGCCGCTGCTCGCACCCACTGACCGACTGCTGATGGCACTGAACCATCAAGACCAGCGCCGGGAGCCCGCAATGGGTGCAAGCAGTGGTGCCCCCTGGGCTGTTTGCGGGGCTAGCTCCGGCAGTGGGTGCACGCGGCAGGTGCGAGCACGGCAGGACGGCAGCACGGCAGCACGCGGAGCGAAGACTTTTCAGTAACCACCAGAGGCTCACCCAGTGGCAGCGACTGCGATCCACCGCGGTCTGGCCCCTGCTCACCTGCTCCACCTGCTACAGTCGACACCCGCCATGTTCCGCACTCGCCCCCTGGTGGTCAGCGCATGTCATGGCGACCGGTGTTCAGTTGTGCAGTTGCATCTATTTGCATATTATGTTTTTTTTTTAAGATAGATAGATAGATAGATAGATACACACACACACACACACACACACACATACATACACATACATACATAGACAAGTGGTGACTCCTGCAGTGCAGCTGTCGATCTGGGTCTTTGTTCCACAGGAGTCTCTTGCATGGCTCAGGACTGCCCACTTCGAACACCAGAGGACTTTGTGTTCCCATTACTGCCCAACGAAGAGCTCAGAGACAAATACAGGCGCTACCTCTTCAGGGACCATGTGGAGGTACGGCCGCCCTGTGGGTTCGCCCCTGCTTTCCTGGGCCTCCTTCCCCCGGTCCCCACCAGGGCTGCTTTATGACAAGGCTGCCATTAGGAAAGAGCTCCATGGCTCTAAAAGGCCAGGAACCGCTAGAACGGTAGTGAACACAGACGCGGAGTCAGGCAGCCGTGAGTCGCAGGTCTGATACTTCCCGCTGTGTAACCTACCCGTGATTGTGCCCTGAGCCATGGTCTCCTTTAGCGTGGTCACCGTACGCACTCCACTCAGCAAGCCATCCACGCACCAGCAGCACATCAGGGTGGCTGTTCCTTTGGTCGCTGTGGCCAGCGGAGATGGGCAGGACAGCTTGCCCATGACTCCAGCACGGCCAGTCTCAGTCTCAGTCTGGCCCTCGGTCAGGCTGCCCGTCAGGCGCGCTGGTTTTCTGTGACATCGTTCCACCGTGCCATGCCGAAGCGTATTGGTTGATTGAAGGTCTGGTTTTCTCATGCGCAAGCTGCAGGCCCCACGATGCCTGGCTCCGCGGGCTGCTGGCTGCCTCTGCTAAACGCCTGCGGGCTGCAGGGCTCCCTGGTTCCTTCCAGCCGGGTCCCTTCGCGTTCCCATCTCACAGACGCAGCGGTGCGTCCCGCTTTGTGATCTGATGTTAGAACTTCAGTGAGTTGCTGCCTAGTTTAACTCACGTTCAGAGCCTTCAGTATCTGCCCAATGGCAGCTCATGACAGTCCCCGGGAATCCTATAGCCCGTCATGTCAGCATCAGCTGGACGAACAGGGTGTTTGAGTGCTCGGGGCCTACTTGGGGGCAGCGACTGGGAGTGGCTCATGTTTCCCCTTGATGTGCACACAGAGTCATTACCAGCTCCAGCTGTGCCCCGGTGCAGACTGCCCCATGGTCATCCAGGTACAAGAGCCCCGAGCGCGCCGCGTCCAGTGCAGCCGGTGCAGCGAGGTCTTCTGGTAAGGGGGTGGGTGCCGAGCAGCCTGGCTCCGCGCGTCCGCACAGGCCGCTGCTGCCGGGGCGCGGGGGGAGGGGGAGGGCTGTGGAGCGGGAGAGCAGCTCCGCTCCAGGGCGGGGGCGCCTCACGTTCCAGGTCATGTTGGGGAAAGCTCGGTCTGCACACCAGGACGGGGCAGGTGCTGGGAGAAGGTGCTGTGGTTCATGCTGCTAAGACTGACCCAGAGGTTTGATTTCTCTGCCTGCACGGATAACTTACTGCTATTTACATGCTCAGCGTTTTAACCTTTCTCTGTGACTCACCCTGTCCTTCATGAACATGGCATACAGCCATTGGGGCTTACCCCCGCAGTAAGAAAGATGGGAAGAGCGACATGTGCTGAAGGGTAAGGCCTTGGCCTCCATGTTCCCACAGCGTGTGGGCAGCACTGTTGTCATCCTTGTGGGTGAGGAAATGGAGGTGCAGGGTATTGGCAGGAGTCATCCTCAGGCTCAGACCTGTGCCCCAATCCCCCCTCCCGGAGCCTCCTGGAGGGATGGGCTCGGGCACCACACGGGAAGCGTGGCCTGTGCCCGTGGGCCGCCTTGGAGATGTCGTTGAGGGCATGTGTGGCTCGCTGGCCCTCAGCCTCCATCCTGCTAGGTGAGCTCTCCTGGGCAGGGGTGAGGCCGGCTCCTGTGCCCTGTCCTGTCCTCAGCGGTGGGGCTGGGCCAGAGGGACAGGCAGGTCCTGGGGGCCGAGCCTGGGGAAGGTGTGCTCTGGCTGAGTGTCCTGCGCTGTTGGGGTGTCCTGCCACTGCGCCTGGACAAGCTGGCGTTTGTGCCCCTGTGTGCACGTGTGGCTGGGGGCGTTTGCGCCCGTGTGTGCACGTGTGGCTGGGGGCGTTTGTGCCCCTGTGTGCACGTGTGGCTGGGGGCGTTTGTGCCCCTGTGTGCACGTGTGGCTGGGGGCGTTTGCGCCCCTGTGTGCACGTGTGGCTGGGGGCGTTTGTGCCCCTGTGTGCACGTGTGGCTGGGGGCGTTTGCGCCCGTGTGTGCACGTGTGGCTGGGGGCGTTTGCGCCCCTGTGTGCACGTGTGGCTGGGGGTGTTTGTGCCCCTGTGTGCACGTGTGGCTGGGGGTGTTTGTGCCCCTGTGTGCACGTGTGGCTGGGGGCGTTTGCGCCCGTGTGCACGTGTGGCTGGGGGCGTTTGTGCCCCTGTGTGCACGTGTGGCTGGGGGCGTTTGCGCCCGTGTGCACGTGTGGCTGGGGACGTTTGCGCCCGTGTGCACGTGTGGCTGGGGCTGAGCCCAGGCTCCCGAAGGGGCTCGTCCTGCTCTTGCCTGCGCGGAGGCATTTCAGCAGCATCGCCGTCGGTAAAGGTCTGGAAGCCTGGATCGGTGGCTTCCCTTTGAAAAGCTCTGCCTCAGGACCTGCTGGCTTGGACACGAGGACAATGAAAGCCTGACCTACTGAGTATTTGAGTGTTTTTCTTTCTGGTTTTAAGTTTCAAGTGTCGTCAGATGTATCACGCCCCCACAGACTGCGCCACCATCCGGAAATGGCTCACGAAGTGTGCGGACGACTCGGAGACCGCCAACTACATTAGCGCTCACACTAAAGACGTAAGGAGCGTGTCTTCCCTGTGCTCTGCCGCCTCGGGCTGCAGGGCCTGGCAGGCCGGGCGGAGGTGGCCGCGCCTTGTCGCAGTGCTTGTTGCTGGGTGACTCATTTTGGTCCGGTGCTGAAACGCCGGGCAAGTTAAGGAACTAGTTAGGAGAAACTCGGTCTTTCTTGAATGCTCCGAGGCTTTCATATCCCCGGGAGGGAGGTGGGCAGTGTAAGAGTAGTAATTCCCTAGTTTATAAGTTTGTAATGGAGTAAATAGAGAGCGCACCTAACAAATAGCCAGTCTGTGGAGGCCCAGTGCTTGTCCTGCGCCTTCCCTGGGAAAGCAGGGCCCACAGCCCCTGGAGCCCGGGGACTCGGCACCCAGGCGCTGCCCCGGGCCCGTCACGCTCACAGTCCCGCTGTGGCCAGGACGTCTTAACGGGCTGCGTGGTGGCACGGCCCAGCCGGTTTCTGCGGGGCGTCTGCGGGCTCTGTCACCTCTCGGGAGCGAGCGGCTTCAGAGGCTGTTTTCGTGCCTCTTCCGAAGCAGGAGAGCGGGCGGCTGCCAGGACGTGGCCGCTCTGGCGCACTCCCGCCCGGGCAGGCTTTCTGCTGACCGGCTGCTGCTGTGGCGAGGGCCCTGGGGGGACGGGTGGCGGCGGGCTCGGGGCTCAGCTGGTGCGTGAGTGTTTCCGAGCCCAACGTGCTGACCTCCTTTCCTTGGATTGCTGTTCCAGCCTCAGCGACCGGCACATTTAAGTGACTGCTCCTCCCAGCAGTGCTCGCCCGATGAGTCACTGGGCACAGGTGCCAGGCGCTTTGTGTAAGTGTTTAGCCGCCTGGTGGTGCGTGAGCCTAACGGCGCCCTTCTGTCTCCTCAGTGTCCCAAGTGCAACATCTGCATCGAGAAGAACGGAGGCTGCAATCACATGGTGAGCGGAAGCCCGTGCCCTTTGCATGTGTGACACACGTGGTCAGCGGGCCCTTACCGTGTTCTCTCTGTTTCCCTCGACAGCAATGCTCCAAGTGCAAACACGGTGAGTCCCGGCGTAGTGTGCAGGCCAGGCCCAGCCTGCCTGTGCGGGCTCCGTGGCTCGTGTGGGGCGCAGACGAGGGCAGCCTGGCACTTACGTCTGACATTTACGTTCTCCTTTCGGACCTGTAATCCCTCTGCCATCCCGCGGCCACATGTAGTCAGAAGTCCAGGTGGGGGGGACTCTTAGACCCTCACGAATCCTCAGTCATCGGGAAGAGGTTTACCATGGCCTTTCTGTTTTTCCAAGGCAGGTGAGTAGCACGGGCTGGTCTGTGCTGCCTCCCGGTGGTCTCACTGGAGGGGGTAACCACCCGATTCCCTCGAGGCTGCAGGAAGTTCCCAGAGGGGTTTGGACTTGGCCTTCAGGCCTCCTCCATTGTCAGGAGCCGCTTCCTTGGACCTGTGGGTTTTGCTTTCCTTCCTGCCAGATCAGTGAAGAGGGAGGAGTCCTTCAGGCAGGGATGTGTGCACATAGGTCTCCCGCGCGGCTGCCGAGGTGCTGCGTTTCTCTCCTCTTCGTAAGGGCTTGCCGGGGGCTCCCTGTGGTCAGGGGCCTCGGTGCAGACAGGGTGAACCAGCAGCAAGCGCGGCCTCGCTGACGAGGGAGCAGTGTTGTCACCGTCCAGGGCAGACAAGAGGAGGGAGGGGTGGCGTCTGGTCTCTGGGTGAGCACCTCGGGGAAGTCAGCCATGGCGTGGGTCCTGGGAGGCGGGGCTTCCCGCTGTTCGGGCCAGGCAGACAGGCACACCCGCACTGGCCTCTAGCCGGCGCGCGGGCCTCCCTCCCAGACCGCGGTCATGGTGGGACATGTAGCGTCCAGAAGGGTGTTTGGTTCCCTCTTTGCTTCCCCTGCAGAAGCAGTGCCGTAACTCTGAGTGTGACTGCGGAGTGGCTGTAGGTTAGGGAAAAGCGCTTTTAAACAAGAAGGAAGGGGAATGCCCTCTTCCAGCTTCGTGGACAGGCTTCCTGGGGAGAGGGCAGGGCGGGAGGTGGGCGGGAGGCGTGTGCGCTGTGCTGAGCCTCCATTGGACAAGTCCCTGCCGTCCTGTTCTCACAGTGGCCGGACACAGCAGGCCAGCGGTGCTTGCTCTGTGCTTTAAAAAGTCTTACTTTGCTGAAACTGGTTTAGCTCAGTGGATAGAGAGTTGGCCTGCGGACTGAAAGGTCCCGGGTTCGATTCCTGTCAAGGGCACGTACCTTGATTGCAGGCACATCCCCAGTGGGGTGGGGGTGTGTGTGTGCAAGAGGCAGCTGGTTAATGTTTCTCTCTCATCGACGACGTTTCTAACTCTCCCTCTCTCTTCCTCTCTGTGTAAAATCAATAAAATGTATTAAAAAGTCTTACTTTCCAGTTACAGTCCACATTCAGGGTTATTTGGGTTCGTTTCCGGTGTGCCCTATAGCGGTTAGACAGTTATACACCTGACTAACATTTTTACTGCTGCCTGGCCCGTACTCGCTGTTGTTAACCATTCTCTGTGCTGCACTTGGGCAGACCAGTGGTTTGTACGTCACACCTGCCTGCACCGGTGAGACGGGCACACAGCTATGTGCTCACAGAACCGTCCTTTAGATCGGCAAGGGCACTGCAGGGACTGGGATCGGGGAGACAGGCCCTCATTCCTCCCGAAAGGGGGCGTCCTTGGGAAGTCTGATCAGGTGACATCCCCGCCCCCAGCACAATCTGTCCGTCCCCACTGCTTGGCCTTAGGAGGACTGGGGCCTTGTCCTGGGTGTGACTCCCCTCTCTCTGCGCAGACTTCTGCTGGATGTGCCTAGGCGACTGGAAGACCCACGGCAGCGAGTACTATGAGTGCAGCCGGTACAAGGAGAACCCCGACATCGTCAACCAGAGCCAGCAGGCGCAGGCCCGGGAGGCCCTCAAGAAGTACCTGTTCTACTTCGAGCGGGTAGGCTCCTCGGCTGCTCCGGAGGGGCCTGTGCAGCGGCTACGGCAGCATCCCAGTGACTGGCCCAGGGCCACGTGCACAGAGGGCAGGGCTGGCTCCACAGGGCCTGGCTGACGGAGGACGTGGTGCTGACTTGGTGTGCGGGCTGGATGGAAGATCAGGAAGGGACCTCAGTGCCATCTTAGCCGTCAGATTTTGAGGGCAGTTCCTCCCAGGGAGACGCTTCAGCAGCCCACAGCGCGCGGCACGCGAGGTTTCTGAGCACGTAGACCAATGAGTCTCACACAGCCCGTCCTCAGGCTCAGCCTGCTGCCCGGAGGGTGGCGTGGTCTGGCAGGCAGGCGCTGCTCTGGACACCCGCCCTCGTTGCCCTCAAGGTCACACAGTCCCCGTAAGTTAGACGAGGCTGTGGCTGGGCCCTTCCAGCCCAGCTGTCTCTTCTGGACCCTGTGCCGCCCCAGGGCCCCTGCAGCTGCCTCCTCCCTCTGCCCGCAGTGGGAAAACCACAACAAGAGCTTGCAGCTGGAGGCGCAGACGTACCAGCGGATTCATGAGAAGATCCAGGAGCGCGTCATGAACAACCTGGGGACGTGGATCGACTGGCAGTACCTGCAGAACGCTGCCAAGCTCTTGGCCAAGGTCTGCACTCCTCCCTCTCCTGAGCCCTGCCCAGTGCCTGGCCCTGTCAGCCCCCGACCGCAGGGTGAGAGACCCCGAAGGGGGCTGGGCCGTTAGCACCCTGTGCAGGCCGCATATTTCTGCTCACGGGTGGACAGTCCCCCGGCTGTGCCCACTGAGGACCAGGCCTCTGCTGGTGTCCAGGGGGTTCCACCAAGAGAACCACTGTGGCGAGACTAGACCCCTTTTCTTCTTTTGTCCCATCATGCATCACTCAGGAAAATAAGAGCTTGTCTTTGGACAATTATTGAGATAGATGTGTGGACTCTGATGTCCGACTCAAGAGGGAAGAGCCATTGAGGCAGCTGCTGGTAAATAAATCCCAGGTTGGAAGGAATGGGGTGTCTGTGGCCACTTTTGTTTCCTCTCTCCTTGTGGTCCCCTCCATCTTTATTTGGTGAGGTCGCTTCTCGGGTCCATCCTGTGGAGCCAGGTGACCTGCATGGTGGGGACAGAACTGCAAAGGCCACCGAAGCGTGTGGCCGCAATCAGACACAGGCCCTTCTCTTCTCCTCTCCCCGTTGCAGTGTCGCTACACCCTGCAGTACACGTACCCGTATGCCTACTACATGGAGTCCGGGCCCAGGAAGAAGCTGGTAAGGCGCAGCAGCCCCTCCACTCTACCCTCCGAGCGCCAGAGGTGCCGGTTATGTGGAGGCCAAATTAACACAAAACTGTCGTCTTCAAAGTGTATTTCTCTTCCAGGCATCTCCAGAATAAGTCTCATCCCCCCAAAGCTGGCGTTTTGTGTAATAACAGCCCGAGTGCCCCACTGTTTTTCACTGTTATAACTGAGACGTGTGGGAACATCTTTGTGCGTAAAGCTTGGATGTACAATTACTAAGGCAACTGGCTCAACTATTTTAAGAGTTGATTTGCAGCCCTAGCTGGTTCGGCTCAGTGGATAGAGGCCTGAGGACTGAAGGGTCCCGGGTTTGATTCTGGTCAAGGGCACTTGCCCGGGTTGTGGGGGCTCAGTCCCCAGTAGGGGTCGCACAGGAGGCTGCTGATCAATGATTCTGTCTCTATCCCGCTCCCTTCCTCTCTGAAATCAATAATATATATATATATATATATATATATATATATATATACACACACACACACACACACACACACACATATATACACACATACATATACATTTTAAAAAGTTCATTTGCAGAACGGCTAAAGAAAAACAGTATTCAGGGAATACAGTGTCTGTGAATAGCCATCCATTTGATTTTTAAAGCATTTGTTTCCCTATATGCTGGGTGCATTGTCTTCAGTGGCTTCAATTCTTGCCTGTTCTTTGCGGTGGTGTGGGGGTGCCCTTGCTATTTGTACTCTTAGGTAGCCTTAAAAAAATAAAAAAATATATATTTTATATATATATATATATATATATATATATATATATATATATATATATATATATATAATATATTAAAAGAGAGAGAGAGAGAGAGAGACCTAGATATAGAGAGATAGATTTTGGTGAAGAAGGGAGTGGGAGAAATAGAAACATCAATGGTGAGAATCACTGATTGGCTGCCTCATTCATGCTCCCCACTGGGGATACAGCCCACAACCCAGGCAAGTGCCCTTGACCAGAATCGAATCTGGGACCCTTCAGTCTGCAGGCTGACGCTCTATCCACTTAGCCACATTGGCCAGGGCCAGTTAGCCTTTTAATTGGGTTCTGGCTCCTGGTACAGGGACTAGCACTGCCCTCTTGAGGTCAGCTTCAGAGCCTGAGGCGCTGCGTCTGCGCCTGCCCCGTCTGCAGGCCCTGCCCTCTCCTTTGACCCTCCGGCTCTGCCCACAGTTTGAATACCAGCAGGCGCAGCTGGAGGCGGAGATCGAAAACCTGTCGTGGAAAGTGGAGCGCGCGGACAGCTATGACCGGGGGGTAGGTGCTGCCGTGAGGGAGGGGGACGGGTTGCTGTGCTCAGGCTGGCCATGCGAGCACAGGTTTGCTTCCCTGGCGCAGGACCTAGAAAACCAGATGCACATAGCGGAGCAGCGCAGGCGGACCCTGCTGAAGGACTTCCACGACACCTAGGCCGGCCTCGCGAGCTGCAGGGGAGAGGCGCCGGCGGCTGTTCGGCACGACCAGGGCTCTGCCTTCACACCAGGCCCAGCCGGCCCTCCTGCGGGCCCGGCACACACCTCATTCCCGCTCCTGCTCACCGTGCTCTCTGTTTCTGCTGCGTAGAGGCCCTGTTGGAGTGGCCTCTTCAGGATTTGAAATTCCCCCTGGATGGTTGTTGGGAGGGAGGGAACGTTTTTTTGAATGACTATTAATAGTATTAGCTCATTACAACTTATGTAATTTTTAAAGGTTGGGCAATTGTACCAAAAAAACAAAACAAACAGAAAGGAAGCCAACCATAGAATTACACAGAACCTTTAAAAATAAATTGGCATTGGAGTGTTTGCCCTCTAGCTACTGTCCTCGGAACGCAGCTGCTCCTGCCCCCTCCTGGAGGCGCACTGGAGGCCCGGCGGGCGGCCTCTGCCTCCAGAGACGCTTGGTGTTCGGGCCCAGGGGAGGGGCAGGGTGGAGGTGGGCACTGGTTTGCCTGTGCAACGGGTCTGGCATGGGAGCCGCCTGCCCCCTGCCCGCCCTGTCGGCCTCGGCCAGGCGCCCTGCGTGGCCTAGCAGTGTGCGGGCAGTGCAGAGCAGGGCGTGCCACGGGGCTGAATCGACGTGCCCTGCCTGTCTGTGGGCTCATGGTGATTCTCGAAGGAAGGCTTTCCCGGTGGCTCCTGGGCCAGAGCCCACGGAGAGCGTGGATGTGGGACAGGAGCTCCTCAAGGCAGAGCTCCACTCACAAAGGGGGTCGTCCCCACGCAAAGGTGTTGTTTGGTCCCTTCTCCGCAGCAGCCTGCAGGCCGTCCTCGCGAACCTCGGCTCGGGCAGTGTGGCTGTTTGCACAGGCGTTTCCATGGCCGCTGGGTGTTGGCCGGCTCGGGCTGGGCCTCCCCTCCAGGGTTTGCACAGAGGAGCCGGCGGCTCGCGTGGCACCTGGCCCCGTGGCCCCGTGGCCCGGGAAGTTAAGCCTGGCCGGGGTTCTGTGGCTGTGGTGCCCCGGGAGAGGTGCTGGGGGACACGGACATGTGGGAATTGTCTGATGCTCGTACACTCACCTCCGCGTCCCCAGGCACCACGGCTGTGAACTAACTGCTCTGGACGGCAGCACACAGCGGGGGCGGGGGCTGGCTGGGAGAGGGACAGGGAGGAGTGTAGCCATGAACGGGTCGGGGGTCCCTGCACCAGGATAGCCTCTGGGACCCGGTGGGCGTGGTCGCTGCGCTGGCTCGGGGATGGGCTCGGCGGCTTGCCTTCCTCCGTCTTTGTGCTGCGTGGCCCAGGGGCCGGCGTGTTTGGACTGCACATCGCCGTGTGCCCAACCTGGGTCTGGTGGCGGCGGTCCCCTGGAAGGCCCTGTCCTTGGGGAGGCCTGGCGGTGTTCTGCCCGAGGGTGGAAGGTACAGAGGCACTGTGTTCTCATGAATTTGCCGAATATCTTTGTTTTCTTCAAAGAAAAAGTTGAGGTAATGTCATCTGCTCCAAGTTGAGTGGTTTATTAAAAATAAACGGAGTTTCTGATTATAAGACTACGTGTAGATGTCTTTCTCCCACAGAGCCTCCGGATGCAGCAGCCAGGGCATGGGCCCCGCACAAACAGGGCGGCCTTGGGTCAGCCCTCCCAGGCCTGCGAGGGCCCCTGGCCTGACCGCCTCTCTCTCTGGGGAGAGGACACTGGAGGGAGGTGGGGTAGCTGAGTCAACATGTGTATGTTGGCCTAGCCTGTGTGACTGGGTGCTTGACTGTTGATCCATGAACAACCCCTCCCCTCCCTCCAAAGGACCCCTGGCTCCTCCACAGCCCCTGCCGAGGCCCTGGCCCCTTCATCAGCATACTCCCGGCCCCTCCAGCGCGGATGGGAGCTTAGGCTGGGCGGGGGTGGTTAGGCGTTCCTGGTTGTGAAGATGTTTGGAGTGATACTGTGGGCTGTGGGCTGTGGGCAGCATGCACGGCAGGCAGTCAGGGCCAGAGAGGCCTGGACACTGCAGCCTCCGGGGCCTTCCTCTTGGGGACATGCGGGGAAGTGGTCACCAGTGAGTGTTCTCTCTGAGGCAACGGCCACCAGCCACTCCTGCAGGCAGTGGGCAGAGTACCGTGGCCTGGCATCATGTCCTTGGCCATCTTTAAAAAAGAGGCCCTGGCTCTTCTGCTGTGCTCCCGGCGTGAGTGGGAAGGGCCCATGCGAGCATGGAAAAGGCTCTTGTTTATTGCATCGGACCGGCTCCCTGGTGGTCCTTGGGGATCACGAATTCGTCTGAGATCCCCAGCCAGGACCATGAAGGCCCCCATTCCGGAGAGCCTGACTGGCCGCGGTAGGTGTGTGTTTGTGTTTTTGTGTGAGCGCTCTGGAGGGACTGCCCCTCCATCAGGGCTCTTACCTGGGTGTTTGCCGGCTGCTGCGTCAGCCACGGTTTGAGCCTGGATTCAAATCTGTAATAAATTCTTGCTAGTTTAGTAAAAAAAAAAAAAAAAAAAAAAGAGGCCCTGGCCAGTGTTGCTCAGTGGATAGAGCGTCGGCCTGCAGACTGAAGGATCCTGGGTTTGATTCCGGTCAAGGCACATGCCCAGTTGCAGGACTTACCCCCAGTGTGGGGCATGCAGGAGGCAGCCAATCAATGATTCTCATCATAGATGTTTCCCTCGCCCTTCCTCTCTGAAATCAATAAAAATACATTTAAAAAAATAAATGGGCCGAAACCGGTTTGGCTCAGTAGATAGAGCGTTGGCCTGTGGACTGGAAGGTCCTGGGTTCGATTCTGGTCAAGGGCATGTGCATTGGTTGCGGGCACATCCCTGGTGGGGGGTGTGCAGGAAACAGCTGATCGATGATTCTCTCTCATCGATGTTTCTAACTTTCTTCCTCTCTGTAAAAAATCAAAAAATATTAAAAAAAAAATAAATGGTTCCTTTTCCCCTCAAAAAAAAAAAGTCTAGCCGAAACCAGTTTGGCTCAGTGGATAAAGCGTTGGCCTGTGGACTGAAGGGTCCCGGGTTCGATTCCGGTCAAGGGCATGTACTGTGGTTTCGGCACATCCCCAGTAGGGCAGTGTTTTTCAACCTTTTTTGGGCAAAGGCACACTTGTTTCATGAAAAAATCACGAGGCACACCACCATTAGAAAATGTTAAAAAATTTAACTCTGTGTCTATATTGACTATATATAAAGTAATTCTCTTGAATAGGAATCAAATAAACACAAAGTATTTTATAATTACTTTATTATGAAATATTAAGTAAACAAAATAGTGAAAAATTATAAAATTCTTGTCTTGTCTGCACCTACATCTCAGTGTGCCGCGGAACAGCGGTTGAAAAACGCTGCAGTAGGGGGTATGCAAGAGGCAGCTGATCGATGTTTCTCTCTCATCGATGTTTCTAACTATTCCTCACTCTTCCTCTCTGTAAAAAATCAATAAAATATATATTTTTTAGAAAAAGTCGTCTAGGGGCGGGGCTTTTCCACGTGGCCCCGGGGTCTCCTGCAGCAATCAGCACTGCCCATGGGCGGCTCTGCTGGGAGCACTGAGGGCCGGCGTGGACCCGGGCTTGTTAAACCAATCCCGTCCCCACGAGCCAATCACACTGACCGCCCTGAGCAGACCCGGCCAGTCCTCACGGCAGCCCACGCTCCACAGCCCACCTCGGGGGAGTGCACGTGTTAGGGGCTGGGAAGACCATTTGTAACAGCAGCGCCCAGAGGTGAGGGCTGGTGACAGCCGCTCCAGCCACCCCAGGAGGGATTTGGGCATCACGGTGGTGGGTTTTAAAAGGCCGAGAAACTGTAGTTTACCGCCTGATTGTGAAGTCCCCACAGCCAACAGGTGCGGCGGAAATGGGGTGAAGCAGCCCCCCGCCCCTCAGTCGCCTGCTCCCGCTGTTGGGATGAGCCAGCGGAGCGGAGCTGTACGTGGAATGGCATAGCTCACTGGACAGGGTAACAAATATAGGGGCATGGAGTTGGGGACGTGAGGATTTCCTGGTGATCTAATTGTAGGCTTTATTTTTAAAAATACATTTTTTACTGAATTCAGAGAGGAAAGGAGACGGCAAGAGACACAGAAACATCAATGATGAGAGAAGCATCCATCAGCTGCCTCCTGCACGCCCCCACACTGGGGATTGGGAGATGACGGGAATCAAACCTTGACCTCCTGGTTCACAGTTCGATGTTCAGCCACTGAGCCCCACCAGCCGGGCTTATTATAGATGTTAAAAGGCTAAAGAAGAGCCCTAGCCAGTTTTGCTCAGTGGTTAGAGTGAAGGATCCTGGGTTCGATTCCAGGCTTGATCCCTGGCCCCCGTCAGGGCTCGTGGGGGAGGGCAACCAATCCATGTCTCTCTCTCATCGATGTTTTCTCTGTCTCCCCCTCCTTCCACTCTCTAAAAATCAATGGAAAAAATGTCCTCGGTGAGGATGAACAAATGGCTGAAGGGGAAATGGTCTCAACGTGGACACCAGAAAACCATGACATCCTGGTAAAATAGTGGCCAGAAAATGCAGGCTGCTTTTGGGGGAAGAAGTGGAGGAAAAGCGGAAACCACCGGAGGGACTTCCTCACTGGTGTTACTGGGCACGTGCCTCCTTTGGCTAACCCAGCCTGAAGAGCTGGGCGCCTAAAGATGCCCAGCGGGCACATGGCCCCGCACGTCCTTCCACCCCGGACGGGGCAGTGTCCTCGGAGGCGGTGTCTCCATTATGGACAAGTCCTTTCTCCCTCCTCCCTGAGCCGGCTGGGAGGCAGGAGAGGTCCCCCGAGCACCTGCTGCGTCCTGGGGGTCTCTTGGGGATCTGACCTTCCCGGGCAGGCCTCCTCCAGGAGGCCCTCCGGGTCTGTGCCACCCCGCATATCCGCATCTTCTCCCCGAGCCTGGCTCCCGCAGGCCTCCGGGAGGCCAGGCCGACCAGAGCGGCCCTCCAAGGCGTCCTCCTACCGCCCCCCCCCAGGCGACCTGACCTCCTACCCTGGCCCTTGTCGACGCCTAAAGCTACGGTCCCATTCCGTCACGTGCGCGCCCCAGCCTCCGGCCCGACCCGGCGCCGCACTGCGTCATCCTGGGCTCGGCCTCCCGCAGCCGCCGCCCCGGAGCGAGGGAGCGCGGAGCCCACGCCTCCGGGAGGGGAGTGCGTCCCAGCCGCGAGACAACCGCCTGACCGCGCCGCCCTGGTCCGCGCCGCCCGGAGGCGCCCCTCCCTGCGGACCCGGCTCCGGGAGGCACCGTGCGGGCCGGGCCCGGGGCGCAGGGGCGCGGGGCCGGCGGGCGGCGCGGGGCCGCGGGCGCAGCATCCCCAGGCGCCGTCTCCTAGCGACCGCGGCGCGCGCGGCCTCGGCGGTTTCCCGGGCAAC